TAGTATATATATATTTTTTGAACTTTGCATTCATCAATCAACGAAAATCATCTAATATTTTTCGTATTCAATATAGAAAAAAGCTAATTTTTAAGCCTAAGTAACAAATCCTTTAAAAGGTTGTTTTCTTTTGCATGTTTCCATTTTGAGATAAAGCAAATCACTGGTATTTTACCAATTTATCACAGAAATTTTCTTTAACAAACAGAACAGAGATGAGAAACAGAGGATGAAGAAGATTAAGAGTAAAGTCTCTCAATAAGAAAAAGTTGAAACTAGCTTAAGAAGAAGGACCGGTCCAATAGGATTTTACAGCGATAAGGATCTTCTCAGGGATAAAAGGACCTTTCTCATGATCCAAAATCCGACTTGTCCATCTCATTCCATTGGTTATGCCTTGTATCTTCGTCAACATTTCGACAGTGTCTCTAAACACCACTGTTCCTTCGGGTCTAAGTATTCTATCCATCTCGAGTAGTATCAATGTCACATCACACCTTCCATTAACATGACAACAACGACAACATTATAAGTCACCTTTGTGAGACACACATACAGACAACATTAATTAAATTTGCGGTCACATCAGAAACATCTTTAAGAACTATACTAGATTCTTTCTAAATATAAACAACTTCCATTATAAGTAAGTGTATGAACCCTACAATATTTTAACAAGAAAAAAAAACTTCATATTTTCAAGTTCGATATATCGAAAACATACATGTTTTTATCATGTCATAATAATAAATTTCTAACATTTTTTTTCTCAACATTGTTTTTATGTCAACTTAACATCTACATATAAAAGTTTTCTAGTCTATGATATATAATTTATTGGACACGGTCCACCAAATTTAGTCACTCCTCTTTTCATATGATACTTTTGTAAATCGTAAATGCAAGCACCATATGCAAAAAAAAAGATTCTCCAAGTTCACGATTAGCCAATAAATTTTGCTTAAAATTCTTAAGCATGTAGATTAATTTAAAGAAAATATATACTAAATATAAATTCTTAAGCAAGTAAAAAAGTTTAGTAATTAGTGCTTACCTGTTTTCGTAAATGCTGAACAATCCACCGGCATGAAGAAGATCATAAGTTCTTGGATACGTAGAGAATCCTTCACACCAATCTTGATATGTCCCTATGAATCCTCTCTCGTAAATCACTCCTAACGTTTGCTTCTCGGCATCCGCAGGAACCACATTCATGACCCAAGATGGATATTTCACCATCGCTGCTGCAAATCCTCCAAGATATGCATTCATGTCCATTATGTTCCTGAACCTTCCACGTGAAAGCTCTGGCAATATCTGTTTGTAATATGCTATTCTCTCTTTCCACGCCTCATTGTCTTCTCTGTATTTCTCAGCATTGATCTCTGGTATTGTCCCCCGGATTATCCTAGGTGGAATCGCAAAAGCTCGGTCTGGCCAATCCTCCAGTGCACCTCCAGCAAATTCATCTGGACTGTTTGCTTCTGGCAATGGCGTTACACAAGATTCCAAGTCTTTGTACCTATCAAACATGTATCAAGTATCATGTTAAGGTGTCTAAAATAGTACTCCTTATCATAATTTAACTTCTTAAAACCATAAAGATTAATATTTTTTTTTTCTTTCAAAAAGTATCATTTAAAATATAATTCAACCAATTATTAAAAAACTGTTGGTCACACAATATCTGATATATGTAAAAGTTGCATAAAATTGTGGAATAACTTATATTATTTTGAAACAAAACAATTTTTTTTCTTTCTAAAACAACCTATATTATAAAACATAAAAAGTATATAACATGGGGTTTCTGTACACGTTGTCAATTGATTTTGAGTTAAAAGCCATCATTTCTAAATTTTGACTTATTGTCAACTGTTTGAAAACTATAATTTTTAAAATCTGACAAAACGTGTAAAGATAACAGACGTATCTACACTCGTTAAATTGATTTTGGCTTTTCTAAAATTTGACAAAATATTTCTCCACTTATATTTAATTGATTTTGAGTTAAAACCACAATTTCTCAAATTTGACAAAACATATAAATATATCTTGAGCATTTGGGAAGAGGTTTAGATTGTTACCAAGCAAAATCGGGTTGATCTGATTTGCTGCATAGAGGAGGAGATTTATGAAGCCGTTTGAGTTTTTTACACTCAATGTGATTGATTGGCTTTTGCCAGATTGAAAAATCACCTTGCTCTGTAACTTTCTTCCAACAAAGACTCCTTGCTGCATCTTCTATTGAATCTTGCTCTTGCTTCAAATCCTCTTGTGATCTTTCCCAACCTTTCCAGTGTTTCTTCCAGTTAATCGGTGGGCCCGATAGGATCCAATAACCGCCCGGTCTTAAAACCCGGTCCACTTCGGTCAAGTACAAGCCATCTACACAATTAATATTTTGGTTAAGTTCCCTATAGCAAATCAAGAACCTGATGGAAACAAATCAAGAAAATTTTCAATTACCGTTCTGAAACCAAGGAATCAAACAACGAGAACAGTGAGCAAGATCAAAAGCTCTAGCTGGATAAGGAAGCCTTATTGATCCCATAATCCCTATTATCGCAGGAACTCCACGTTCTAACGCAAACTGGACTTGAGCTTCGTGAGTGTCTCTTGGTGCAAAAGACATAGCCAAAATGTCTCTCTTCAACAAGTAAGCACCAAAACTCGCGACCTATATAACAAACAAAACCTAATCAATCACAAAACAAGTCAAAGATTGATGCCCTATGGATGCCTTAAGTGACAAGAATATCTAGGTTTTTCACAAGCCACTGGATTAATCTGGATTTGGGTCTAAGAAAGTAGTAGAGATAGAAACTTACACCACACCCTGTATCAATAGCTGTTCTAACGGATCCATCAGTAAGAGGGATGAGTTTAGAAATATCATCAATGTAAGCATCAGCTCCACGTGGGAACCCTGTTCCACCACCAGGGAATCTGAATCTTTCTCCTTCGACTTGAATCCAATTCTGGATTGCTTTCTCGATACTTAGCTCCTTGTGTGGGATGTTGTCATACCAAGCATAGTCTCTGCTCTGAGGCCATTTGAATGGAATCTTGTAGTTTGGTGGAGGAGGAATCAGACAATAAAGAAGCTCATCTTTTGTAGGACAATGTCTCTCTCTGTATTTCATCATGTTCCTATCGAATCTCCTCCCTCTCTCTCGATCTTCACATGGAGTGTACTCGCTTAGAGACATGTCACATGGCTCAAAGTACTTTACGGTTTGATTCTTTTGCTTGAGCTCGAGTTTGTGATGGCTTTCGAAATCTAACTCGACTGGCTCTGAGAATGAAGAAGAGGCGGACAAGGAAGAGGAAGACGAGAGATTCTCATCACCATCAGAAGAAGAAGAGGACCTTTCTCTCTGAGTCTTTCTTTCATCACATCCCATTCTTGAGTAAACCTCAGAGGAAGAAGATGGAACTGTGTTGTTTTGCCAAGATCCAAGAACGTAAGACAAGATGCAGAATCCACTTACACATAGAATCCAAATGAGTCTTTTCCTCTTTGCTTCTGCGTGGTAATGACCACTGTTCTCTTTCGCCATTTCTGTAGAGATTGAAGCAAAAGAACTTTGCAACTTTTATCTGATTTTAGTAAAACTCAAAAACTAAATCCTTTGTAAGGTGATGGAAAAAAACTCAAAATCAATGTAAAAATGTTTAAAAAATGTACTAAAGGTTATAATGGAGCTCGAAACACGAAGATAAGGGATCCACCATCAGAGAAAAATAGTGAAAAAGAAACAAACTTTGTCTGAATTTAATTGTATAAAAAAGGACAATTGGTCTCTATTCTTTAGCAAAAAGCCAAGAACCACACTTATTAGATGTGGTCTAAAGAGAGGAAATTTTTTTAAAAAAATTAGAGATAAAGTTGGAGTCTGACTAGCCTTATTTTTCGTTTCGCCAAGTATAGCACATACACACACTGCTTCTAGTTGAAGTCTTGAAGAACAGAAGAAAAAAAAATAAGAAGAGAAAATTAAATTATGCAAAATGTATTCGACAGCAAGAAATGTGAAATCTTTACGGGTTAAAAAGAAGTCAAAATAAGGAAAATTACAAAACAAATTCACGTGGCAACCCATAACTTTTGGACTAAAGGAAATTAATTATTAGGGGTCATGTCATATTCCATTTTGTGATTAAATATTATATGAAAAGGATAATAAATGAGGCATAGTATTCTAGACAAGTCGAGCACATTGTCAGAATTATTCATGCCCCACAAAACTTTTGCTAGATTTATCGACTGTGCACAAGAATTCTTCGCACGTGACATACACATTTACATAGATATTTATAAGTTTGTATATAACGCATAAACATGTGATTGGTGTACATGTTATAAGTGTAGATGTGTTATACCCCGAGAGCAAAGGGAATGATGTATGTTTTAACTTTTTCACACTAATTAAAAAAGTTTTTTAAATTGACTTTTTTAATCGTCTTACTTAGTATTAATTTATTGATTAACTTTTTATTGAATAATTAATATTAGAAAAATAAATTAAGTAAAAACAAGCAATAACTATATATTGAAAACTGAAAACATTTAATATTTTGATAAAAAAAAAAAATTCAAAAACATCTATCGTTAAGAAACAAAGGAAATATCTATATACAAGTGAGACTATGGGTGTATTATTAATTAATTAATAGCTCCACTATCATTCGATGGATTAAGAACATAAAACAATATTTAATTCCTTTACCAAAATAGGTCTTGTGAGTTATGACTACTTCCCTTTGTAAAACAAGTCACCATGTTTTTTTTAAGGACTTGGAAACTCATACTCAGCATCGATACAAATAGAACACTTGCATATAGTTACACACCCAAACTCCATTTTTCACAAACATACATGACCAATCATAAAGGAGCAAAACTCAGAACAAGCCAAGACCAAAGATATATAACCTTAAAGCCAATTTCATCAAACAACAGTCTGAAACACAACAAACCTCCCCAAAGAGGTTGTCTAAAAGCACTTCCTATGAACAATGGCTGGTCCTGATTCCTCATATTCCGCTTTTGATATCCACATCTGCATTTCCAAACAAGATAACCAAAAATCAGTGGCGAATCACTGAAACATAAACACGGTACTAATTAAAGAGTTTTACAATACCTGTTGAAATGTACTAAGAGAAGCCAAGATGGAACCTCCAATCCAAACACTGTACTTCCTCTCAGGTGGTGCAACCACCTTAATCTTCATGCTACTCGGCGCCAACGCCGTGATCTCTTTGCTCATCCGGTCGGCGATTCCCGGAAACATGGTTGAACCACCACTTAGCACAATGTTACCATACAAGTCCTTTCTTATGTCGACGTCACATTTCATTACAGAGTTATAAGTGGTCTCGTGAATCCCCGGTGCTTCCATTCCGACAAACGACGGCTGAAAGAGGACTTCCGGGCACCGGAAACGCTCTGCGCCGATCGTGATCACCTGACCATCAGGGAGCTCGTAGCTAGTCTCGATCGCAGAGCTTGATTTCGCTGTCTCGAGCTCCTGCTCGTAATCCAATGCTACATAAGCAAGCTTCTCCTTGATGTCTCTCACGATTTCTCTCTCAGCGCTTGTGGTGAATGTGTACCCTCTCTCTGTCAAGATCTTCATCAAAGCATCGGTAAGGTCTCGTCCGGCTAAGTCAAGCCTGAGAATAGCATGAGGAAGCGCATAGCCTTCGTATATAGGAACCGTGTGACTTACTCCATCACCAGAATCCAATACAATACCTACAAGTAAACCAAATCAACAAGAGGGAATTAAACTTTCAGATTAACCTAAAAGACTCTGTTCCTACTAGGACCTGCCCATTGGTTTTTGCGGTTGTCGGTTTAAAGAAAATATTACCGAATTGCACTAAATCATATTTCGGTTTGGTTCGGAATCGGATTACTTGGTTCGGTTTTGGATACTATTATGCCTTCCAAAGTGAACCGAAATCATCAATATTATCGATTAACGACTATGTTTAATCGGTTCAATTCAGTTTGGCTAAGTCAAGTCCTGCGAAGTGAAGTGGCTTCTGTTAATTTTGGTTTTTTGGTTTTAGTAAATTAAGTGAATTTTTGGTTTAGACTAAACCGACTGGTTGTTGCTTTGCCGAAACGAACCAAACTGAACCGATTGAATGAATTAAACCCGATCGGCTCTTAGCTACCAAACCATATTGAACCAAAAATCGAGAATCTCAGTTTGGTCGGTTCGGTTTTTCTGGGTGGTTGCAACCGAAAGCCCAGGCCTATGCACCAAACTATTTGGTTAATTTCGGTTTATTCGGTTTTTCAGTTTTACAAAATTAGTAGAATTTTCTGGTTAAAATTTAATCGATCGGTTTGGTGTTTGCCAAACAGAACCGAACCAATTGAATTTTCTAAATTTGCCGACCGTTCTTAACTGAAATCTCGGTCCGGTCCAATCGGTTTTTATCCGTGGTTGCAACTGAAAGCCAAGGCCTATAAAAAAAGTAACAAAACCAGTCTAACCTGTAGTTCGGCCACTGGCGTAAAGCGAAAGCACGGCTTGGATAGCAACATACATAGCAGGTACATCAAAAGTCTCAAACATGATCTGAGTCATCTTCTCTCTGTTGGCTTTAGGATTAAGAGGAGCTTCAGTAAGAAGCACAGGGTGTTCCTCAGGAGCAACACGAAGCTCATTGTAGAAAGTATGATGCCATATCTTCTCCATGTCATCCCAATTACTAACTATACCATGTTCAATGGGATACTTTAAGGTAAGTATACCTCTTTTAGACTGAGCCTCGTCACCTACATAAGCATCTTTCTGTCCCATTCCAACCATAACACCAGCATGTCTAGGACGACCTATTATGCTAGGGAAGACTGATCTTGGAGCATCGTCACCAGCAAAACCGGCCTAACCAAAACGGTAACCGAATTTAAGGTCAAAAGATTGAATTAGGTTTTAAGTATACTTGATCAACAAGTAAAGAGTTGAGAGAAAACAAAGGCAAAAGAAGCTCACTTTTACCATTCCGGTTCCGTTATCGACAACAAGTGGTTGAATCTCCTCAGCTTCTGCCATGATCTTATAAACCTTAAACAAGAGCAAGAGGATCAGATTTCGACAAGAAGTCTTGCAAACTAAAGATCAGTTGGATCAATCATAGAGTGGTAAGTATGAGTTTAGGATCATTTATCAAGAAGAGAGTGATCATCAAGTCAAAAATAGAGAGGAAAGACCATGATGTAAAAGTACAAAGAGCTCACAAGGGAGAAGAAACTTACGGTGGCTAACGCAGAGATGAGAAATCGCAATGACGAAAAGAGAACTAGAGAAGTCTGCTTAGTGAAGGAATCTAAAAGGACAGAGAAGAAGTGACTGTCTGTGTGAGTGTGACACCATTAGTGCTTCGTGGCCCCTTTCTCTTTACTTTTCTTTGCTTTTTGGTAAACCAAATCAAAATGCTTCTTTTCAAATAATTATGATAAGACTTAACTCTGAAGTGACTAATTCTGAGATGATAATTCTGTAGCATTGTGAGAGGTTGATATTGATCTGAGTGAGAGTTTCATTTCGATACCAATTTTACATAATTTGGCAATGTAAAGAGAATGAAAAGGGTAAAAGATTGTAGCCTCCAAAACTTGTGCATATAATAAGTAAATGAAAATCTCGAACAAAAACATAACAAGTGATAAGTCTAGTTTTGCAACACCGTTGGATTTGGATTTGGATTTGGTTTGTAATACAAAACAAAACATCCAAAAGGAAACAAGAAAGTGGAGAGCTATGAGAATAGTTAGGTCTATTCCTCTTCAACGATCTTGCTCTTCTCGCTAACATAGATACCGTCAAGGAACTTCCTGATATCCTTCTTCTTCACGTGACATTTCTGCAAATTACACAAACACAATAGCGATTACAAAAGAAGACCCTTTTGCAGATGCGTAATTAAAGTGGTTTCGCAATGCAAAATGTCATCACTATTCAATTTGATACTAAAATTCAAACATCAAGCAAGAAATCTCCTAAACTCAACAGCAAAGTTATCTCAAGTCTTTTCGTAGTTTGACACATTCTATAGAGATTCAAGGATATATGTTCACTCAAGTTTCAGTTCATGAAACACGAATTTTCTATCTTCTTGCTAGTTAGAGCGTTACCTGGTTGATCAAAGCGCATGACCTCGAGACAAGCTCGATATCGTTTCCATCAAGAACAATCTCATCCTTCACTTTCTCAGATCGAACAATGGTTACACCATCCAACATATCTACCTTCCTCACCTGTTGTTCCAATATACCACATTCACATCTAAGCTGAGTGTTCAAAACACAAAATCAACATTTTCGAAAATAAAATTGAATCTATCATCAGGGTAAGGAAACAAACCTTCTTCTCACCGAGGAAGTTACGGATCTCGATGGACCTGTTGTCGCCGCCGATGGAGGCGTTAATGGGAAAATGGGCGTACACGAACCTCATCTTGTATCGGAAACCTCTGGTGACACCGGAGATGAGGTTATCGACGTGGCTCAGAGCGGTTCTGATGGAGGCGCTGCTTTTGCGCGAACCGAACCACGAATCGATCTTAAGCTTCCGTTTTCCAGTCTCTTCGTCCTTGGTAAGCTGGAAATCGAGGTTTAGATGCTTGAAATCGCGAACGAGTTTGCCGCGAGGTCCTTCCACTTCAATCACTTTAGCGTGAACCTTGATGCTAACGCCGTCGGGAATGTCCATCGTCTCCGAAGAAAGAATCGTCTTCATCTTCTCCAACTTTTTTTTTTCCTCACTCCCTCGCTCCAGCTTACCACGGCGCGGCGAGTTTTTTTAAGTGACAAACAGAAACCCTAAAATGGTTTTCTCAGTTAAGGAAATGGGCCGGCCCGCTCATCTAGCCCATTTTAATCATGCTGGCATATATCTGTTGAATTGAACCAATTTTAACTTTTAAGAACTTATGATTTGAAAAAACAAATTTTATACTATTTAAATTAATAAAAAGAAACAATCGTAAAATAATATAGTTTAATTTTTAATAAAAATATTTTGATTATAAAACATCATATATAACCTACAAATAAGGATGGTATATTATATAATTTCATAATCGAATTTGTGATTTTTTTATATACTAATGAAATCGCACATCTCTGAGGATCTTATTGGATTGGGTTAACACACCTATTTAACTCATTTCACATAGAAGAAAAATAGTTTACATGTTTTGATGGATTAACCCACAAAAGATTAAATTTTAATATATTGTACTAAAATATCAAAAAAAAAATGTAATAGTATATCAATACAACAATAACACATGTGTCTCTTCAATAGATGACACATCAGCTTTTTCAAGCGTTCTAAAGTTGACACCTCAGCAAAAAACTTCAATCAAAACATTTTATTATTACACATCATCTATTAATTTTTATTATTTTTAACTTAAACCTATTAAAATCCCACATATTTTTCTTTGTTAATCTTTGTTTTATTTTTGCCAAACTCAAGCCTAAATAATAAATAACAGCAAATAAAAAAATTATTTTATTTTTTATCATCTCCAAATTCAAATAATAAATAACAAAAAATAAAAAAAATTAAATCTTTGTTTTATATTTTTGCCAAACCGAAACTCAAATAAAGCAAAAAAAAAAATTCTAATTATGTGTTTGCTTGATAAAGATGTATATGATTGAAAAAAGTGTAAACTCATTATCAACTATGATTTCATAACAACAACACAAAAATCGTTATGTTATAAGAAACTCACACATCAGCAAAATTTTTGAACCAATAAAAACATAACAATAATACATATCATTAACATACTAATAAAATCAGTTTACTATTTTGCTGACCCATTAAAAAGCCCAAATTTTATAAAAAAATGTAAGTCGAAAGCAAATGAGGAGTAGCTGAGACCACCACAGCTTGAAGATTTGCATTTCCGGTGGTTACCGAGAACAAATTTTCTTGGGTTTGGCTGGAATAGAGATTTTCTTGGTTTCGGTAGGAAAATGTGATTTTCAGTTTTGGTAGGAAAACATAATTTATCGGTTATGGCGGAAAAAAACGAATTCTCGGGTTTGACGGAAAAATGTGAATTTTTAGTTTTGGTGAGAATAAACAAAATTTGATTTTAACGCGAAAACAAAATATCTTAGTTTGAAGAGAAAATGCAAGGGAAATGCAACTTTTCAATTTGAAGAAAAAATATGATTTCTCGGTTTTGATAGGAAATGTAAATTTTCGGCTTTTGATGGACAATAAGATTTCTTGATTTTCGCGGAAAAAATGTGATTTCTTAGTTTTCGCGGAAAACTGTAATTTGACAATTTTGGCGGAAAATACAATTTCTCTGTTTAATGGGAAAACAAAATTTTTTGATTTTGCGGAAATAAACAATTTTTCAGTTTTGATGGAAAATGTAAATTTTCAGTTTTTGACATATAATGTGATTTTTTGGTTTTCGCGAGAAAATGCGATTTCTTAGTTTTTGCTGGAAACGCAATTTCTCAGGAGATAATGCAATTTTTGGTTTTTGCAGAATATTGTAGTTTATCGGTTTTGGTAGGAAGGCGTGATTCTTGGTTTGACGAGAAAAATATTTTTTTTTTGTTGTTTTGGCGGGAATAGACGATTTCTCGGTTTTTTGTAGAATAATATTTTTTCCGGTTTTGACGGAAAATTACGATTTTTTGGTTTTTGCAGGAAGATGAAATTTTTTGGGTTTGGTGAAAAAACTTGATTTCTCTGTTTTGGCGGGAAAACACATGTTCTCGCAGGAAAATATGATTTTTTTTTATTTTTGCGGGAAAATACAATTTCTTTGTTTTGGTAGGAAAATAAAATTTTAGGTTTGACGAGAAAATGATTTTTTTTTGTTTTGTCGGGAAATGCAATTTTTTAGTTTTTGTAAAAGATAAAATTTATATGTGCAAAATTTTCAAGTTGCAATATGTTTATGCTTTATAGTAACCAAAATTGAATTATTTAACTTCAACTAAATTGATATTTTAACAGTTCAAACATAACATTCTATTTAGTTCTAAAGCAATAGCAATAGTTTTGATATGAGTATTATTGATTATAGTTTGATAGTTTTAGAAACATATGTTTATAATGAATACTTGATAAATAAATAAATTTTATAATTCAAAATAATCATATTAATTAATAATTTTATTTTTTAAATGGCAATTTACTTTATCTAATTTCAAAAGAGGATCAAGTGGCAATTTAGTAGAGAAAATAAATTACATTTGCTATTAGCATGAATGTACTTAAAAATATATTATTTTATTCTTACATATACATTTATAGATAGTTAGCTAAACAAATTTGCTAGTAGATTATAATTTTGGAAAATAAAAAAATTAGGGATATATAATGTTTATTCAGATTTAAAACATATAAATACATAACTTAAACTAATATAAAATAAATATAATATTTATTTACATTTAAATAATTTTATTATATTAAAAATATATACGAAAATTAGAAAAATATCTCGCAGCATAGCGCAAATAAATACCTAGTCTATTCTAATAAATTAATATTTTTTAAGATCATGCTTTGATATGGTGCCATGTGACATACATTTTTTTATATTTTTTTTTGCTGAGATTTCTTTCAACGGACAGACATTAAAGCAAAGCTTCAGTTTTTTTTTCTCCCAACGATTCTCTTTTATCGAACAATTCAAAAAAATCAAATCACTAAACACAAATCTTATTATATCTTTTTTATCTAACAAACCGAAACGAAAATCAAATCACTAAACACAAATCTTATTATGTCTCTTATCTATATATTCTTATAAAGTATGATTTTTTTCATAAGCAGCTCATATATTCTGCCATATGGCAGCATCTAAGAAACTAACATGTGTTACGTTTTTTTTTTTTTAACTATTTCTATTGAATATTCTATCGTTAAACAAACACAAAAACAAAGCTTTATTTTTTTCACTTTCTCTAAACGATGCTCATTCGTCCAACAAGCAGAAACGAAAATCAAATTACTCTCACAAATTTTATATAATAAAGTAAGGTTTTTTTAAATAAGTAGATCTGATATGCTACCAT